CATACAAATACAAAGTGTATAAATACCATAACAAGCACAGTTTCTTACCTTTGAAATTGACGAGACACAATTTTGTTCATATAAGCGTTGCGCAAATAAAGATACAATTCCGGGATACAATATCCTCACACAAAAATTACTGTGCTGTGCTGGAGAATCGAAAAAATAACTTGATGTGCATAATAGCACCATCAATTCCTGTCTCTGTACCAACTCTGAACTGAATTGGATCACACATGTGTGAGAAAAAGCTGGTAACGTGAAAATGTGCACAAACGGATGCACAGACACGACCCAAATTAATACCCCCAGCCCGGATCGCAGATTAATTAGAAAATTAATTAGAAAACAAAATAGGTAATTAATATGTACAGATTAATTCCAGACTAGGATTAGCCTAAGATTCAACTAATTATACAGGTAGCAAGACTCAAGCCATTTGAGCAAACAAATAGACAAGCTGGAAACATTATTAGATATTGATCACGAACAAGTTTGCGAACAACCATGTACTAAGTTCAAACAAATATTCATATGTATGATACCTGAAGAATATGTTTTGCAAACACAAAGCCAAACAAACTTTTCAGTGTAACAGCCTCTGCTGTTTTCTATCCCTAATTATATTGCGTTGCGCTTTTTAACTTTGCTGTCAGATGAGAGAGTGGAGCTGTTCATATAGGTGATTGTCCATCATTCTTTGTCTGTCAACAATTACATTTTCGACAACTTCTTAAAAACTACTCGCTCAATTAATTTGATACTTAGTATGCATGTTCCTTTGGTGGACCTGTCGGATTTGTTCAGTTGTGATGATATCTTCAATTCTCTATTTTTGGCAAATATTTTTGTTAAAAAATGTTATTTTTAATTCTCCTTGAACACTGCCAACCTGATTGCTTTGATATTTCAGGTGTACATATATTTTTGACATGTTTTCAACAGCCAGAACCAAACTATTTTTTTGTGGTTTGACCGCATTATTTGTCTGAAGGGTGTGCATTGCTGAACGTGTCTACCACAATTTTCTTGTGAGACAGTACAGCTACTGGATCGTCAGATCACTTGTTTTCTTGCCCAGCAAATTGGTTCACATATTTAAGTAGCTATTTAAACCAATTTGTTTAATAGGATATAATTTCTGCATGGTAGTCAATTTACATTCAACAAAATGTCCTTAGGTGTGAAATTTACGTGACATTTTCATGGTTGGTTACCATAGTTTCACAAAAGCAGCCCCTGGAAATGATGTTTCATTCTAAATGTCATAACTATGAATGATTCACACTATGGCCATGCTAGTAACTAATAATGGAGATAAAAAAACATGGCAAATGTTGTATGTACATTATTTTTTTATTGAGTTACAAAGTAGATTTTGAAATGATTCTACCATTTATTGTATCCATCTTCTATTTACAAATCCCCAAAGTTCTACTACAGTTCAGCAAACATACCTCAATATCTCAACAAATGTTGTTTTTATGTACTTTTAAATCAAAGTCAGTGAATTGCATACCATTCCCACTGTTCTACGATCATTTATCATCTGCTTCATCCATTTCCTTCTTCAGTTTAGCAAGAGCTATCAGTCTCTTATCTCTCCACTGACGTCTTTCTGCTAGTTTATCCAGTGGAATGCTTTCACAGATCTCCTCCTGCATTTTGTCTACAAAAGGACCTGTGAAACTGGGTATTGGACCAAAGTCTCTAGATACATTCTTCATTCCTTCTGCATACCTTTCACAGTAGTTTTTTGCGCCTGCAAAAATAATTGAATAATACTTGGTTTGATATGTACCATTAACATTTGATTAGCAACCGCCGTTTGTATTACAATTTATTCAAACCACAAATCCTTGATGTGGTTTGTAATAAGTACATATCTCATGTTCAAACTAATTTTTTCTCAAAAAAAAAAAAAAATGATTCATTCATGATTTAAATAAACTTATACATGTAAGCAAAGACAATGTTTTTAATGTAAGTAACAATATATTCAGTTAGTGAAAACTCATCTTAGAATTGTTGTCTTCAATTGTCTTATCAGTACAAGTAATCAATGTGACAATAAATAAGCTGCCACACGGTTATTTCCCAACAACAACTCCAGAGGGCGCCATCATATGAATGAGATGATAGCTATTTTTGATAGCCCAGGTCATTTTTTTTTAACAAGCCATGGTCGATGCCTACTGATCTGTTTGTCTTTATTTTTGTTTATGCTCTTGACCAATAAATTAAAAAGTGCCAATTGGTGAATTTGGGAGGATGAATTTCATTTGAACCTTCGCCCTGAACAGAATACTGTAAAATGACTAATATTCACTTGGTTTAAATTTCACTGATTTACCATTTCAGGCATATTCAGTAGGTTTTAAATTCACGGTTTCGTCATTTAGATAATGTGTTCTATGCTAAATTTTACATATTCACTGTGTTTTAATTTAGCGCATTTTCCCAGTCAGCGAAATAAGCTAAATTAAAACCCAGTGAATAATTACCCCCTTTACAGTATCACTGACTCATACAGTTCATATTGAATGCATATCGTAGTAAAGTTTTCAAAGTATGGATGCAGTTAGTAATGAGGACATTTCCAGTTTCTTAATTCTTTCCATACAAACTGTTCATCATTGGAATTCTCACCTAGGGAAGCTGTTAGTAATTAGAATGTGATTTTATTACTCGTAATCAAATTTTAATAAGGAGATATAACTACATTTATGTACTATAGCAAGTTACTTTCAGAAATATTTACAGAAGAATACAAGAAGGGATCAATATGTTTTCCCTGGAATTAAAAACATTTAGGGCACATGTCACCCATAGTAACGTATACAACCCATGTAAAGTACATTTTTGTTCACATGAGCCTTGCCACTGCCTTAAAAGAGTCATGTACCAAGTGTTAAAATTAATTACTCCTGTAAAGTCATACATCCTGGTACTTTTACAGTGACTATACACTACACCCCACTTCATGCCATGTTTGGAACAACTGCTTGCAAAAAATAATTGTGAAATTAGCCTTCATAGCAAATTTGCACCTTTCTCCCCCAAAAATACCAGGATGTGTAACCTTTAGGGGGTCATACACCTAAGGCTTCCTTACCTTCAGCATTGAGATGAATTGTTTCAAATACTCCCATGAATGCATATCTCATGCCTAGTCCCCATTTCATACACGTATCTACATCCTCTGTGTTGACCACACCCTCCTGAAAATATAAATAGAATTCAAATACACCATCATTATTGCAAAATTATGTGAATATAGTCAGTAAAATAAAAATATGAACCTAGTACATCTAGAAAATTGTGGTGATTCTCATGGATCATTTGAATAAGGTAATTCTAAATCAAAGTGATATCATATGAATCAGTGAATCATAACATGACAAGTTAAATGTATGTTTGAAGGTAGAATATGCTACTCAAATTCACTATGGTGAATAGACATCACACTATGATGAATAGACATCACACTATGGTAAATAGACATCACACTATGGTGAATAGACATCACACTATGGTGAATAGACATCACACTATGGTGAATAGACATCACACTATGGTGAATAGACATCACATTATGGTGAATAGACATCACACTATGGTAAATAGACATCACACTATGGTAAATAGACATCACACTATGGTGAATAGACATCACACTATGGTGAATAGACATCACACTATGGTGAATAGACATCACACTATGGTGAATAGACATCACACTATGGTGAATAGACATCACACTATGGTGAATAGACATCACACTATGGTGAATAGACATCACACTATGGTGAATAGACATCACACTATGGTGAATAGACATCACATTATGGTGAATAGACATCACACTATGGTGAATAGACATCACACTATGGTGAATAGACATCACACTATGGTGAATAGACATCACACTATGGTGAATAGACATCACAAAAACATCACACTATGGTGAATAGACATCACGCTATGGTGAATAGACATCACGCTATGGTGAATAGACATCACGCTATGGTGAATAGACATCACACTATGGTGAATAGACATCATGCTATGGTGAATAGACATCACACTATGGTGAATAGACATCACATTATGGTGAATAGACATCACATTATGGTGAATAGACATCACACTATGGTGAATAGACATCACACTATGGTGAATAGACATCACACTATGGTGAATAGACATCACACTATGGTGAATAGACATCACACTATGGTGAAAAGACATCACACTATGGTGAATAGACATCACACTATGGTGAATAGACATCACGCTATGGTGAATAGACATCACGCTATGGTGAAAAGACATCACACTGTGGTGAATAGACATCAGGCTATGGTGAATAGACATCACGCTATGGTGAAAAGACATCACACTATGGTGAATAGACATCACGCTATGGTGAATAGACATCACGCTATGGTGAAGACATCACACTATGGTGAATAGACATCACGCTATGGTGAAAAGACATCACACTATGGTGAAAAGACATCACACTATGGTGAATAGACATCACGCTATGGTGAATAGACATCACACTATGGTGAATAGACATAACACTACATAACTAACATGATAGTTGATAGCTGGCTGAAATCCTGATGTAACCTGAGATTAAGCTACTAGTATCTGACCAGTATATATCATTCATTAAGAAATGCCACAAATAAGTGTAATGTGTAGTGTCATTGCACGTTTTTTTTTTAAAACTGGGCAATAGGGGCACAGCACTCTGATACTCTCGGCCTGTGCCCTCTTACCGAATTGCCAATTGAACTTTCAAGTCATAAATATATTTCTTGAACCGCGCACTTCTGTGCTGTCTGTACAACATGAAATCTTTCGCAAATATTTTTTTCTCCGTGAAAACTTCCCAGCAACACTAGCTGACAATGTGTCAGGACACCAAATACACTAAAATTACTCCAAAAATATTTCAATGGCGATAGATACACTGTTAAAACGGCACAGAAACCTTCTATTATGGCATTTCCAGGTCTATTGCCTGTGTGTGCTTCCTTTTGTTATTTTTTTCTAGAAAAAACCCTGTTATTGTATACTGTAAAACAAGTCTTTTTCACGAGCATATCTTTTTCGCGAATTTAGCGAGAGAACTGATTTGCTAATTCAAGATGTCGCTAATGATTTTATTATCAACAAGCCATGCATGGCACAGTCCCCGTTACTTATCAAATTTAAGATATATAGTTTTGTTTATAGTAATATAACTGGAATATAACCATGTCAGGAATATGAATTTTTAACATTAAAATGATTGACATTTGTATCTGATCGTCAAACAAGTACTTGTCCATATTGAGAGATATTGCTCTGGAACAGCATTCAAAATCAGCCATTTTGAATACATGTACATATATATATATATATATAACATGATGTATGACGAATTTATAAAATTTGAATATAATCAGTCAAAGCATTTAAAAGATATGGCTCCAGAAGCCCAATCATTAAAACAAAATGGTCGCCAGTCAGCCATTTTGAATCCAATCTGAAAAATAAAATGACATGCATCAGGAACATGTAACCTGTCTAATGTATGTTATAAGTTTGAACAAAATCCAACCATAAATGCTTGATATTTGATGATTTTTTTAGCACAAAAATAGCCACCATTTGGCCACTTTGAAAAGGCTCGTCAAACCAATATATCCGTATATCTATGACATGATGTATATACATTGTAAATATTAAAAAATTGAACATAATCAGTCAAAACAAGTCAGACATAGAGAACGAGAACTACATTCATTAAAACAAAATGGCCGCCAGTTGGCCATTTTGAATCTAATCTG